TATCTTTGCTGGTTTTGATCTGAAATTGCTTTGACCCACGTGGAATCCTGCTGTTCATCACTTCCTAGACATGCAACGCTGACTCCCAGAGTGAATCCTAACTTCCCAAAGCAATCTAAGTTTGAATTCTAGAGGCCTTGCTAGAGGATTGAACCACACTCTCTCCACTATGGATTCTGTCCCATAAATGCAAGTCTCCCTAGCAGAGAACCTCCCCAAATTAGGCCAGATATCAGAGTAAGATTATAATGGTGTTTGGACAAGAGACACAAGAACATTCAATTCTGTTTTCAACCAGTCACTCTCCCCCACAAGGTCCAAGAGGGAAATAAATACCAAAAGGGCAATGCCTAGCAAAGAAAGCATTGATTACTATTTCAAGACTGGACTGCATATCCCAAATCAGTTAGGGATCCTAACGCTAAGGTGAGCTGGATTGTGGGAAGAATTCCTGCAGATCATGTAGGCAGTATTACTCATCTATCATTATTAACAGATAACTTAGCAGCTTAAAACAACACACATTCCTTGGCTCACAGTTTCTGTGGGTTGGGAATCCAGGCACGGTCTAGCTGGGTCCTCTGTTTCAGAGTCCTCATAGACTACAGTCAAGATGCTGGCTGGAGCTGTCATGCTATGGTCTCATCCGACGGTTCAACTAGGGAAGAATCCACTTCTAAGCTCTCTCACGTGGTTGTTGGCAGGTTTGTTTCCTGGGAGCTATTTACCTGAAAGCTTCAATTCCTTGGTGGCTCTTGGCTGGAGGCTGGCCCCAGTTCCCTGCCATGTGCACCTTTCCTAAATGGCAGCATGCTTTATCGAAGCATACAAGCTAAGAGGGCAGCTGAGCAAGAACACCAGTGAGATGGAAGTCACATTCAAGTCACTAGGTCCAACCCGCACTTGAGGAGGAGGGATTATATAGCAGCGTAAACAGGAGAGGCAGACCATATTGAGAGCCCGGTGAGAAGCTTCCTACCACATGGGGGGAAAGGGCTTCCTCCAAGAGACGTAACATAGGGTGGAGTATGGGAGAGAAAAGGGGTCTTAGGCTGTGTCTAATGAATGTGCACAATCTTCTATTAAGATCTTATTTATTTATTTATTTATTTGAGAGAGAGAGAACATGAACAAGGGGAGAGGCAGAAGGAGCAGATTCCACTCAGCAGGGAACCCAATGTGGAGCTCCATCCCAGGACCCCAGGATCATGACCTGACCCGAAGGCAGATGCTTAGTTGACTGAGGTACTCAGGGCACCCCAAATGTGCACAACCTTGATCAACCAGATCAGCCCTCCCCCTTGAGGGGAAGTAGAGAGGGAAGGGGGCACTACAGTCATCCTTTCCCTGACTGAGAGCTTCTGAGCTGGTGTGGGCCGTCAGACCAACACCATTTATCCAAATGGAAATGACCTTCTCCTTGGATCAAAAGACTCAAGCCCCACACAGAGCAGAAATCATCATTTATGTAAGCCCCTGAGATTTAAAAACCCTTAGTCTCAAACTAGAGGAGTGTCCTTGAACCCCTAACACGTAGTCAGGACCAGATTCACATCATTGCCCTCATTAAGTAGCAGAAAGCCAAGAGCAACAATGGGAACTTGAGTTGAGGAGCCCCTGAAGGTAGCTGACCTCAAGACTGCCCTCAGGAATTTCCACTGGGTGTAAGTGGACAGAACCCAGAGGACACCTCGTGGGGGAAGACAGTGAGAAAGGGGAAATACTTAAAAATTATGTTAAGGGAGAGGAAATTCAGACTGAAGAGAGGAGCAAGCAGAAAATGCTCCAGATCCCACCCTCTGTCATCGCCCGACTCAAACCCTGGCTTGAGGGTGATTTTCTCTTCTGCTACAAAGATTAAAACTCTGTCAGTCCATGACTTCAGGGAGAAATTATTAGAGCTGAACATGAATGACTGTCTTTCATCATCCATTCACTAAATCTCTCTTTAGGGCCAATGACTGATCCAGACAGGGAACAAAACATGGCAGCTCTAGGAGGGATTCTTGTTAAATAGTGAGGAACACAACCACAGACGGCAGCATCTACTATGGAAAACAAGAAAGACTGGGAAGGGTGGGATGGTCGGACTGTCGCTGTTTAGCCCAGATGCTCAGGGAAGGCCTCCTTGAGAAGGCTGTAGTTTGAGCTCAGGAACAATGAGCCAGAGCAAAGCACTGCAGGCAGAGGGGACAGCAAAGCCCAGAGCGTAAGGCCTGCCCACCAAAGACCAGCAAGGAGCCAGTGCTGTCAACGAACACTAAGCACCAGGCGAGGTGGTAGAGATGAGGCCAGGGAGGAAGGCAGGGGCCAGATCCAGTAGGCATTTCTAGACCTTGGTGAGAAGCCTGACTTTGTTCTAAGTCCAGTGAGAAACCCTGGACACTGTATTTATTTCCTGTTGTAGCTATAACAAATTATCACAAACTGTGTGGCTTAACATGACACCAATTTTTTGTCCTACAGTTGTGGAGGCCTGAAGTCCAAAAACCAGTCTTACTGGACTAAAACCAAGGTGCCTGAAGAGAAGGTTCCTTTTGGAGGCTCTGAGGGGGAGAGTCTATTTCCTTGCCTTCTTCACCTTCTAGAGGCCACCTACATCTGGCCTTGGCTTGTCACCTTCAAAGCACATCACTCTCATCTCTGTGTGCCTCGCCACATCTCCTTTTCTGTGACTGTCCCCAGTGTGACTCCATTGGGCCCACCTAGATAGATAACCCAGGATAATCATCTTAGCCCACAATCCCTGATACATCCACAGTATCCCTTTAGGCACATGAGGGAACACATTCGCAGGTCTCAGGGATTAGAACAGGGACATCTCTGGAGGGCCTTTCCTCTGTCTCTCCACAGAGACCATCCACAAAAGGGTTGACATCTGAGCTACCTTAGAGAACACGTGTGCAGGAGGAGGAGGAAGAGCAGGAAGACCAATAGAGACCATTGCAATAGGGCAGCAAGAAAGCAGAAGTGTGCTTGTCTGCCTTGACCACCATCATTGAAGAGAGGAAGAACAGAGAGAGGAAAGGTGACTTATGGGGACTGCCCAGCCCAAGTGGTTCTATGAATTTCCAGCAGGGTGCTCTTCCAGCCATCCCAGGATCAGTCTCTTCAGGAACCTGCAAGGGCTGTGTGACTTTTCTGAAGGGAAGAGGCCAAGACTGGAAGGGAGGAGTGGCAGAAATGCCAGGACTTTGGCTTGATGAATTAAGCCTGAGATTTCGAGTCCTAATCCTGGAATTTATAAAAGTCACTTTTTTTTTTTTAGATTTTACTCTTTGGGAAAAGGGTCTTTGGAGAGGTAAGGGCACTGAGGATCTTGAGAGGAAGAGATAACCCCATATTACCAGGGTGGGCCATAATGCCATCACTGGTATCTTTAAGCAAAGGGAGACCACAAAGACACGCACAGAGGAAGTTGGGGTGAAGACGGGGCCAGCAGCTGAAAGAAATAAGGAGCAGATTTTCCCCTCAGGCTTCCAGAGAGAGTGCAGCCCTGCCCACACCTTGATTTTAGACTTCTGACCTCCAGAACTATCTGTTTCTATAGTTTTAAGAGGATGACTCTATTAGGATAAATGTCTATTGTCTTAAGCCATCCAGTTTGTGGTGATTTGCTACACCGGGTATGCACAAGATCATAGCCTACGGTCTGACTCAAATGCTGGTAAATTGGCCAAGCTGGATTCTGGAACCACACCTTCTGATGTGGGGTATTACCAGGCAAGCCCAGGCAGGGAAGAAATCTCACTCCTAATTGTTCCAGGGAACAAGATGGGAAGATAGTAAGAAGGCCGCTCTACCAGCCAGAGGACCCAGGTGACTTCAGTGCCCTGTCCCACTAGCACTGTCCTCACCAGCAGGAACCAGGAGCAAGGACCCCATCTGTGGGTGCAGCCCTCCGCAGGGCCCCTGAAGACAGCTGTTGCTGTGTATGGTTCAGGACCGGCGACAGCAGCTCACCTCCCCCTCGCGATACACCCACCTGGGGCTGGCTCGAACTCCTTTATGTCTGATGCAGCAGAGAGTGGTGGAAAGCTACAGAGAATGGACAAAACTCACAGACCATCTGTTCATCTTCTGTGTTTTGTGAATTTATTTTCAAATGTTAAGCATCTGATAGCAGTTGTCAGGCATTATCTCAAAAGCTACCATTTGGGTAAAGACATCCTCTTAAAAATCCATGAGAATCACTCAGAGATCAGTGATTCTCCATGGTTTGGAAGGAAGGGTGAGTCGTATTTTGAAAAAAACATCTTCAAATATTATTACATAATTTTATAACCAGAAAGGGGAAATAAGATGTCTTGTTTCTATAATACAGATTTCAGGAAGAAAAGCTTGACCAAATCTTGCTGAAAAGACTGTAGAAAACAGGAATTTCTCAATCGAGAATCACAGGCTCTGGGATGGGTGCTTATGGATATTTCCTGGCCATGGTGGGATTTTTATGTTTATCAAAAAGAAACACAGGTTAAAAAAAAAAAAGGTGGGTGACACCTTTGACCCTCAGTCCATTTGGAAGGGGAGTACAGCCATCTAGGAAGGGGTGTGTCTGTGACTGTCAAGAATGAGCAGAATGGACCAGCTCCTGAGGATGGCCTTGGTCCTCTGTGCCCTGCAGCTCAGGGCTGAGCTGGGAGGCACTAGGGTGGGAGGTCACTCTCACTTCCAAGTGCAACTGCTTCTGGTGGGAGCTTCTATTCTGAGTAGGACTGTCCTTGGGTATCAGAGATGAGTCTGGAGACACTGAGGACAATGGGGAAATAGGGCAGTTAATTCCCTACATTATGACCCTAGACATCCACAACTATGTCCTCTTGGCCAATGTGACCCTGAAAGCTGAATATCAACCCTCTGGATCACATTCCCATCTCATTGATACAACTGCAGAAAACTTCACCTTGGTTAGAAGGAAGGTGTTACTCTAGAGAATGGTGCAACTGGTGAGAACCCAGACTCTGAAGCTAGAGTGTTCAACTCCCAGGTCTGCTACTAACCAGCTCATAACCTTGGGAAATTACTTAGCCATGCCCTCCCACTCTTCAGATGAGAGGGACAGGGGTGCCCGGGTGGCTCAGTGGGTTAAGCCTCTGCCTTTAGCTCAGGTCATGATCTCGGGGTCCTGGGATCGAGTTCCGCATCGGGCTCTCTGCTCAGCAGGGAACCTGCTTCCTCCTCTCTCTCTCTCTCTCTGCCTGCCTCTCTGCCTACTTGTGATCTCTGTCAAATAAATAAAATCTTAAAATTAAAAAAAAAAAAGATGAGAGGGACAATACTAATATTTCTCCCTTAGTATTGTTATGGAGATCGAATGAGACAGTGTCTGGAATATGGTATGTTTTGTGTATGTAGTAGCTATTATTTGCATTATTACAGGAGCCAGGCTAGTGCCTGAAACATTACAGGAGTGGAAAAACCTGAGTGCTGTGAGCCAAGAATTCTTGTCCCATCTAACATGAGTAGCCCCTGCGGCATCCTCTCCCAGAGACAACCTGCAAGAAGGCAGTCCAACAGGACCATATCTTCCCCTTCCTCAAGAAAAGCTGGAAATCTGGATTTTTACATAAAACATCCTGATTTTAAAATATGGGCCACTAATTCTAATTTTTTGAAACTCTAGGCTATGCAAATAAAATATGTCCGTTTGAAATGTATTTCAAGCAGGCCGGCAAGCTTGAAACCTCTAAGGTGTAAGATCAATGAGCACACTTTGTCAGCCCTTTTGGGAGAATTCTAAGGGTATCTGAGGGGCCTTCCATTTGCAGAGTCTATTAACTGGATATTCTTATTCACAATATAGTCATTTAACATTTATAATGCGTCAGGCCGTATCTTAGGGCTTTACCGTAATAACTCCCGTATTCCTCACAACAGCCCTATAAAGTAGAGACTATTAGTTTTGCCATTTTACAGTGGAGGAGACCAAGGCACGGAGGTTAAGGAAGTGGCCCGAGGCAGAACAGCAGGTGGAAGAGCCAGATTTTGAATGCAGGCTGCCTTTAAAAAATTTGTGATGAATCACACAAAATTTTGTGAAAGCCCACACATAGTGTTGGCATGGCCAGAGCTGTCACCAATATGTGCATTGCTGAGTGATGCTGAGGTTTAGAGAGACCACGAGAGAAACCAGGCTGTCAGAACTCAGCAAAGCCTTTAGTGTGTGCACAGAGTTGCTTGTGTCCAGCAGAAGTCAGGGCTTTGCCACTGAGCTGTTTGTGGTCAGTGCCATACCGCGTTAAATCCAGAGAGGATGACCAGCCCTTACAGGGCACGAAGCATGTTCCAGTAACTCTCCTGAACACTCTACAAATATTCATTTACTTAATCCAAATGAGACAGATCCTATTTCTACCATCCTCATTTTATGGGGAAACTGAGTCACAAAAAGATGGAGCCTTTTGTCAAGTCCACACAGCCAAGAGTGAGGATAGGGTTTGAATCCTGGTGATCTGGTTCCCAAGACTATGCTCTTAATTGCATTCTCTCTTCATAAATCTTCAATAATGTCCATTACCTGTAGCTACCTCCACCGCCAAAATGCCCACAAGCAAGAAAAAAAAACCCAGCAAGGGAGAGATTTCTAATTACACTGCACACAAAACTGAACATCTCAGGGTGGAGGGGGGAGCAGTTTGCTTTATAATGATGACAGTAGCTTGCTTTTATTGAGTTATTACTAGGTTCTCACCAGGGTTAAGCCCATGTGAGCCTCATATAAAAGACAGGAGCTGGATGTTATTATGTATTTTTTAAGATTTCATTTATTTATTTGAGAGAGAACATGAGCAGAGGGGAGAGGCAAAGGGAGAAAGAGAAGCAGGCTCCCCGATGAGCAGGGAGCCCAATGGGGAGCTCGGTCCCAGGAGCCTGGGATCATGACCTGAGCCGAAGGCAGGCACTTAGCTGACTGAGCTACCCAGGTGCCCCTGGATTATTATTAAACCCATATTATGGGTGAGAAAGCTGAGTCACAGAGGTGCTGAGTAATTTGAGTAAAGTCACACAGCTGGTAAGAGGTTAAGTGAGGGCTTGAATGCAGGTCTATCAGCCCCTACAACCTACGTGTTTAAACCCCTCATGAAAATGTTCAGGAGCCTCTTTGTTCCAGAACAGCGTCTGCTAAGAGAGGTGGGATAAATAGAAACAGTTTTACTTTAGGTATTTCTAATCAGCCATGCAGTAACTTCCAGGGAATTCCCAAAGAGAAGTCTCCATGACCAGGAAGTGTCGGAGGGGTTAAAGCTTCACTGGGAGTGTCTCTCTGACCCCCAAGAGGCCTAGCTCTCAGACACCACCTCATGTCCTCCCTTTCCCTCTGACTAAATGTGAAGAGTGTCCATCTGCCTTGTTCCCTCCTGGAGGGGAATTCCTGCCTGGATACTGCACTTGTATGTTGGACGCCCTTAGGTTTACAAGTGGCAAAACCCACCTAAGACTAGAGTAATTAAAAGGAAAAAAAGTGCAACTTTTTTGTTTAGGTAATTAAGTTACCTTTGTTACAAAGGTAACTTTTTTAGTTAACTTTTAACTCTTTGTTTAGGTAATTAAATAAGCCTTGAGTTGTCTGGGTTCAGGTACAAATGGATCCAGGGACTCCTACAGTATCAGAAAGCTGTCCCTCTCTACCTTCACCTAATTATAGCTTCATTTCTATAGAATCTATAGCTTCATTTTCTTGGGTGGCCCTAGAACCTCCAGTCAATATCCCCAGAGCTGCTTGCAGTATGAAATATGAGTGAAAGGAGAATTTATGTTTTCCTTTTTTTTTTTTTTAAAGAGGGAGAGAGGGGGCAGGCTAGGGGAGAGGGAGACAGAAAATCTTAAGCAGTCTCCAAGCCCAGCATGGAGCCCAACCCAGGACTTGATCTCATGACCCTGAGATCATGACCTGAGCTGAAATCAAGAGTCGGACACTTAACAGACTGAGCCACCTAGGCGCCTCTAGAATTTATTTTTTTCCAATAGTCCCCATGAAAGTTTTAGGAGTTTTACTGGCTCGCCTTGAGTATCCATCTCTAATTTAATTATCATCACCAGGGAGATAAATATCAGATTTCTCAAGCCTAGGTCACATGCTTACCCTTAGAATAGTAAGGAGATAAGAGACAGTCCCCTTGGATGACATAGGAGATAGGTGGTGTCCTCTAAAAGCTCCTATTTGTGGAGTCACTGCTGGATGTTAAGATTATAGGCACAGACCCATCTAATCTTTACTGTTTAGGTATTCACTTTTTGTTTTGTTTTGGTTATTTATTTATTTTAAAGTCAGAGAGAGAGACAGAGTTCAGAGTTAGGGGCACAAGGAGAGAATCCTCAAGCAGACTTCTCAATGTGGGGCCCAATCCCACAACCATGAGATCATGACCTGAGCTGAAATCAAGAGTTGGACACCCAACCTATTAAGCCACCCAGGTGCCCCTATGTATTTATTCTTAATAGAAGATTCTCAATACCTCTGAGGCCTATGAGAAAGACAACAAACGTCTTTGCTAGCATAGGTATTGGATATTTTTCCCTTCTGGAAAGAGCACACCAATACTCCTTGTGATACACTGCACCCCTCACTCTCAGTCACTACAGCTCAGGAGAGGCCAATCCACCCAAGGCTTCAAGCATGAAGCTGTGACCAATATCCATCGTAGCCCTCTGGCCTCATGATTGGTTCTGGGATGCTTATGGGATTTGATTCTTACATGAGTTATGTCCTGGGCATAAAAAAAAAAAAAACCCAAAAGCCTATCAGAGAGGGAAAAAAGCTCTTCTTTGACTAGGGTTGGTGAGAGGGTTGTTGGCTAGGAGATGCTAGAAGCTGTCTCACCACTGCAAGGATAGGGCTGGTCTGAAAATGATGCCAAACAGAGGAAACCAGAACTGAGAGATGGGAGTTTGAGCCCCCAGATTCAGACATACCTTATTTTAGCTAATCAATCACATCACTTTTTTCCCCTTAAATTAAGCCAATCTGAAGTGGATTTCCTTGTCACTTGCGACTACAAATTAATGCCTAACTGCTGCTCTCTAGGTTCAAATACCAGTTTTGCCCCTTTCACAAACCATGTTATCTTGGGTAAATTGGTTAACCCCTCTGATCCTCGGTTGCTTTCTCTGTGAAGGGGAAATAATCTTCCTTGCAGGGTTTCCAGGATGGTAACTGAGGTTACGGCCAACGAGTACTGAGCACGGTTCCAGGAATGCCACGTGGGCGTCATACGTGTATGTTTTATTGGAGTTGGGAGAGCAAGAAAAGGAAAAGCCAAAGGAAGCAGGGTGAAAACCACACTTGGATGATGATCAGAGCCAAGAAAGTATTTAATGTAAACAGGCTGGCTGGACAGAGATAACAGGGAGGGTAGAGGATAAACGGAGAGCAAGTGCCCAATTCAAAAACATTCAGACTTTAACATCTAAAATCTCTCTGGGGTACAAACAAAATGAGGATGAGAGCTGCTAGTTCCCAAACCTTGCAGAGCAACTGACACATGAATGCTTCCGAGGAGACCCCAACTGTGAGCTAGGAGGTATGGTCATCTGGTTCTAGATGTTTCCATGAATTATGGCTCTAGGGAAAGGACGGTCCATGGTGCCTCCGCTTCAACAGACTGCCTCTCCCAAAGCAAGGGAATCAAGGGGCCTTTGAGTCCAGGCTTTCCTTAATTTCAAAACTGAACATGGCCACTCTTTATTTTTAACCTTCCCTTCCCCTAGTCTATGCCTTCAAGCAGCTTTTCTGGGGAGAGAGTGTTTGCGCCCACACTGGCAAATCTGAGTGCCTGGCCACGCGCCGGCTGCGACGGGGCTGTTGCCATGCCCACCCACCCCAGCACCTGGAACTCAGCCTTTAGAGGGGCTCACTTGAGAGCCACATGAATGGTAAGGAACTCAAGTCCCCAAGGGACCTGGCTGAGGGCAAGGTGACCCTCACACTCGCCCCCTCTTTTGGAAGAAGTGTGCCTCTGCCTGGTTGGAGCATCTGTGACAGTAAAGAAAGTGAACCTCCCATGTGTCTCTCTGCTTTTCAGAGAGGCTAACAAACTTGCCTAGAGTCTCGAGGCTAACCATGGCTGAGCCAGAATTTGAACCCTGGTAGGTATACATCTAGCACTCCAATGTGATAACCATAATGCCTACCAGGAGAGAGAGCAGATGCAAACGTCTGGAGCCACTTGAGCACTCTTTTTATTTCTGCAAATTATTAAAGAATCACCTGATCTGTACATCAGTTTCCTCTCACGATGACTAGTCTGCCGGTCTTAAACACATCCACAAATTCTTTGGAACATCATCCACCAAAAGGTAGAGACTGATTCCCCCTCCCTTTGAATATGGGCTGCTTCTAACAATTAGAATGCAACAGAAGTAATGCCTTGATATTCCCAAGTCTAGGTGAGAAAAAGCTACTGAGCTTCCACCTGCTTGCGTGTCCTGGGAT